AAAAAAAAGAAAAAAGAAAAAAACAGAAGTGGCACTGTGGCTCAAGTGGTAGAGCACTAGCCTTGAGCTGAAGAGCTGAGGGACAGCACCCAGACCCAGAGTTCAGGCCCCACGAACAAAAGAACAACAAAAAAAATTCATTCAAACTAACTCTGTTTAAAATATACTTTGTAAATGGTATGTATAGTCCCCTGTAACTCAATGTATAACAGTCTCTTAGACCAGAAGTATTAACAAATGAAGTTTTTAAGTAATGCACAAAAGCACACACTGCCCAGACCATCAGGTTTAAGAACTGGTATAATGTACTGTATAAAGTAAATGCTACAAAGAATATTGCAGGTCTCTGGATACAGTAGTTTATAATTTCAAGTGTAGTCTCTAATATTAGAAACAAGAAAAAGCAATTACTACATTTTGTCCTCATTTGTTCTAATAATTTTCAGAGCTATATATTTATTCACCTGGTCAATGCTGAAAAACCCAGCAGTCTGCAATACTTGACACAAGGATTCTACTAGTTTCATTTTATCAACAGGGTCCATTCCTTTATTTACAATTTCAAATAAACAGTCACAAGCTTCTTCCCGTAGAACTTCTATTGACATGTGACCTAGCAGCATATTTATAAACCTGACAATGAGAAAATAAAACTATTTTAACATTTCCACACTCAAGAGTTTTATATACTGTATTTTATAGGCTTAGGTACAAATTGAAAATTCACAAGCATATTTACCTATCATTGGCTATAAGGGATAAGTCTATCCAAGAGACATAAGCCCCAACTACTTCAAGGCACTGACATGTCACTTCTGAATTAGTATACTGATAATTTTGTAAAATTTGGTACCATGATTCCACCAGATTTGGAATGCACTGTTCCCTCATGGTATCTTTTATTAGAGTATTCCTACGAGCCTCCTAAAAAATAAAACACCAAAATACAAAGTAGGTTATAAAATGTTTGACATCAGAATATAGTTGCATAAAGTAATTTCCTCTCCATTGAACTTCCAGATTTGTTAACACATTCTCTGCCATCGTTTCCTATTTATCAGCTCCAGAATCATATCCTGTGATTCTTTGTATATCCTGTTTATTCTTCTGTGCCAGACTTAATGTCTTATTAAGTACAAACTATAAATAAGCACTGCTTAGAAAGCTTAAGCATCTGATTTTGTTTCTCAGTATTAAGTATGATTCTTACCTGAAAAATGGCAGTTCAATGCACAATGCCTTTTACAGTTATATTTGTTACAATAATCTTGTTATTATGCATATTTGAAACTATACTCTAGTTCTATTTTAAGAATAAGGCTGAACTGAGTGTGTAGCTCAACAGTAAAGAGATTGCCTGGCATATATGAGGCCCTAGATTAAATTCCCTGAACCAAAATAAAAAGGGGAGAAGGCAGGCAGAGAAGAGAGGGTGTATATAAAAGTTACATAAGTTAATGAAGAAATAGAAAAAGGGTGATTTAGATATGACTATATATTGTCAGCATCAACAATTCATAAGCAATGTTTTTTCCTTGCTCAGAGACTATATGCAAGCATTAAATGCAGATTACATTTCTCAATGAATATGAGAAAAATCAACCTTTTTTTAAACTGGTAAGTTGCTTAGTTAAAAAAAAAAAAACAACAACTAAGGGTGCAGCCACCAGTGATTCAAGCCTATAATCCTATCTACACAGGAAACTAAAACCAAAGGATTACAGTCCAAGATAGCCCAGCCAGAAAAGTTCATGAAACTGATCTCCAAAATAACCAGACAAAAGCTGGGCTGGAGTTATGGTACAAGTGGTAGAGCATCAGCTAATCTAGCAAGAAGGCTAAACAAGAATAAGACCGAGTTCAAATCTTAGTATTGGCAAAAAACAACAACAAAAATAACAACACTGGGGGCTGGGAAGGTGGCTCAGTGGTAGAGTGCTTGCTTTGCATGCATGAGGCCTTGGGTTCGATTCCTCAGCACCGCATAGCAAAATGAAAAAAAAGCCACAAGTGGCGCTGTGGCTCAGGTGGTAGAGCGCTAGCCTTGAGCTGAAGAGCTGAGAGACAGCGCCCAGGCCCAGAGTTTAGGCCCCATGACCAGACCCTCCCACACCAAAAAAAGTAAATAAAAATTAAAAAAAATAACAACACTGGGGGCTGGGAAGCTGGCTCAGTGGTAGAGCGCTTGCCTTGCATGCATGAGGCCCTGGGTTCAATTCCTCAGCACCACATAAGCAAAAAAGAAAAAAGCCAGAAGTGGCGCTGTGGCTCAAGTGGTAGAGCGCTAGCTAGCCTTGAGCTGAAGAGCTTAAGGGACAGCTCCCGGACCCAGAGTTCAGGCCCCATGACCAAATAAATAACAACAAGGGCTGGAAAGGTGGCTTGGTGTAGAGTGCTTGTTTGCCTTGCATGAATGAAGCACTGAATTTGATTCCTCAGCACCACAAAAGCAGAAAAAGCCAGAAGTGGCGCCGTAGCTCAAGTGGTAGAGTGCTAGCCTTGAGGTAAAGGACAGGGCCAAAGCCCAGAGTTCAGGCCCCACAACCGACCAAAAAAAAAAAAAAAAACTCTAATAACTCTTGATTCCCGCCCACCCCGTTCCCCCTCCCCGGTGGTATTGGGTTTGATCTCAGGGCCTCATGTTTCCTAAGTTGTTTTTTTTTTTTTTTTCTTTCCTTAAAACCACTGAGCTCAGACTCAGGCTCTGATTTTTGCTTATTGTTTTAGATAGGGTCTTGCTTCCTGCCTACATATGTTCCTGTGTAGTCTACCAATGGTAGACTTCCAGTATTTTGTATGACATTTGAGTGCCACTGCATCTAGCTCTTCAATGAGAAGGGGTTGTATGATTTTTTTCTGCCCAGGATTGCCTAGATCTGCAGTCCCAACAATCTCAGCCTCCCAAGTAGCTAGGATTAGAAATATAAGCCATTGGTGCCCAGCTAGAAAATTCAATGTAGTAACTCTTAATTTCAACCTATATTGGAAAGAAAAATCAAATCCATAATGCTGGGCAATGTGCAATTATTACTAAATTTTTGTTTACAGGAAAATAAAAGGCTGTTGGAGGATGGTACGTGATGGGGGAAGGGATCAACAGAGAGGGTAAGGATTTAATATGGCTTTAGTGCTTTATATAAATATATGAAAACAGAACAAAGCAAGGATTAGAAGGTGTGAGTTTGATCAGGATACAATGTATGTATGTGTGAATGTCATAATAAGACCACCCCTTTGAATAACTAATATGTGCTAATCAAAACTTATAAAAAAATACTTAAAAGAAAAAAAAATTTCCTTTTTCCATTATGGGTTCCTTTCCTTCTGCAAAATCTTCCTTAAAAATGAGAAATTAATGTGAAGTCACTTGCCTCTGATGTATGAACCACGTCACGATCCACCAACTCTGAATCAATAGCCATGAGGATTCGGAGGTACAGATCTACTCCCCTTGGATTTAGGTCCACTACTGAGAGAATGTCAAAAAAAAACTTGGGCCATTTAGTGAGATATTCTGTAACAAAAAGCAAGGCGAAGACTTGGGCTGCTTTATTTCGTATAAAGGTCTTCTCTGGTTGGTGATTCAGCATCTGACAAACAAAACACTGCTATTAAATTAAAAAGGTTAAACAGCATATTGTTTCCATTTATCACTAGTATGTAAAACTTCACTGAACTTCAACATTGTCCAGATTAACAAAGCAACAAAACTTTATCAAATTTTATGCAAGTACTTAAGTGACTGGCCAAAGAACAAACACAATTTTCAATGACTACCTCTTATTCTTCTTTGTGCAGCCCTAAGCACTGAACCTACAACCTTATGTACACTAACAAATGTTCTACCACTGGGCTACTTCCCTAATTCTTGTTTTTTTTTTTGAGATAGAATCTCACTATGTAGCCCAGGATGGCCTCAAACTCATGATCTTCCATGCCTAGCTCATTCTTAGGCTTCACATACAGAGTTTTAAAAAAGATACAATTTCTTCCAAGAAGAAAAAAATCATTTTTCTTCTGGCTACTTGCTTTTTAAGGAAAATAAGAAACTAGTTACACAAATGCTTTAAATGTTAGAATAGCTCCATTAATTAAAAAAAGAACATGCAGTAAAGAACTCTGTTGGCCCTTTAAATAACATGAAGTATTTTACCTGAGCTTGGAGCCAAGATATGAGTGTCTCTCTAATTAGCTGTTGCTGAGCAGTAGTTAGTTCTGAATATCTGTTCATAACAGAGAAAAAGCATAGTGGCTATTATTTGGTGTCTGGTTTTGAAGATAAGTCCCATCAATTTGAGGGGAAGTAATTATCTTAAGTTTCCTAAAATAAATTAGTAATGTCTATCAATAGGGCTTTAAAGAATATGCAAGGAGGGGCTGGGAAGGTGGCTTGGTGGTAGAGCGCTTGCCTTGCATGCATGAGGCCCTGGGTTCGATTCCTCAGCACCACATAAGCAAAAAGAAAAAAGCCGGAAGTGGCGCTGTGGCTCAAGTGGTAGAGTACTAGCCTTGAGCTGAAGAGCTGAGGGACAGCGCCCAGGCCCAGAGTTCAGGCCCCACGACCAGACCCCACCCCCCCAAAAAAAAGAATAAATCCAGTGGCTCACACCTATAATTCTAGCTACTCAGGAGGCTGAAATCTGAGGACTGAGATTCAAAGCCAGTCCAGGCAGGAAAGTCCATAAAACTCTTATCTCCAATAAACCACCAGAAAACTGTAAGTGGTGCTGTGACTCAAGTGGTAGAGTATTTGCCTTGAGCTGAAGAGTTGAGGGACAGTGTCCAGGCCCAGAGTTCAAGCCCCATGACCAACCAAAATAAATAAATAAATAAAATAAAAAAAAATAAAATTGGATTACTGTTGTTACTTATTCAGGCTTTTTCAGACAAGTTGGAAATATGTGTACTTTTATATTTAACCAACAAAATATCCCACTTGGAATAAATCAAAACACACTTATAACTTGGAGATATATATATATATATAACACACATATAAAACACATATATGTAATTATGTGTATGTGTATGTATCTCTCTCTCTCTCTCTCTCTCTCTCTCTCTTTCTCTCACACACACACACACATTTTTTTTTTCTGGTCCTGGTGCTTGTATCAGGTCCTGGGCACTGTCCCTGAACCACTTTGTGCTTAAGGCTAGTGCTCTACCACTTGAGCCACAGCACTACTTCCAGCTTTTTCTGAGTAGTTTATTGGAAATAACAATCACACACTTTCCTATCCAGGCTGGCTTTGAACTATCATCCTCAGATCTCAGCCTTCTGAGTAGCCAGGATTACAGGCATGAGCCACTGGTGCCTGGCTTAGATGTAACTTACATATTGTCAATTTACCACCTATATATTATGGTTTCCTCAAAGTAAAAACCAAGTAAAAACGGCCTCTCCTCAAATCTGCATCAAAACAGTGCAAAGAGCCTTACTTGTATTTAACTTGATGTTCTAATACTTGAAAGCAGAAGAATTTTATGTGATCATCACTGGAAAAAAAAAAACAACAAGAAAATTAGACAATCAGAATACAAAGTCAGAAAATAAAACATTAATGAATAATAGCTGAGGAGTTGCTCAAACTTATATTTCTAAACTTATCTTCTATTTACCAATCTCTATTTTTGTCAGTTGTGAAGCTGAACTCAGGGCCTGGGCACTATCCAGATTTTTATTCAAGGCTGGTGCTCTACTGCTTTGAGTCACAGCTCCAATTCCATTTCCTGGTGGTTAACTGGAGATGAGTCTCATGGACTTTCCTGCCTGGGCTGGCTTCAAATTGTGATCCTCAGACCTCAGCCTCCAGAGTTGTTAGGACTACAGTGTATACCATCAGCTTTACCAAGCTCATTTTATAAAAAAAAACTCAAATCCATTTGTTTAAAAGCTACAAGAACAGGTTTGTATAATAATTTAATATTTCTATTAATCTGACAAGCAAAATAATAAATTTTTTGTAGCATGTTCCTTAAATGTAGTGCTCTGCAAATGGAAGACACTCCTAAATTCAAGAAGATATCTGGAACAATTTCCACATTATATGGTAGAAAGATCGGGTCTAAAATAACAAATGAAAAACAGCAAGAGACTGGCTAAGTCAAATCAAAAATGGTCATCCAAATCATTCTTAGAATTGTCTAGTCAGTTATATTGTAGCCAAATACAAATTAACAGTGCCAGATGGACAGACTATTGCTCCTACCTAAAAGCTTATACAAGATATCAAACTACAAATATCCTGCTCTTATAAGATGGGAACAAAAGTTAACATCCACCTGTTAGTATTATCCCCACCATTGGTCCTCAAATCTGAACTCCTGCATGCCCTGGAATTCCTGCCAGGTAGCTGGCCACTTCTCTCTCTCCGCCCAGACCTCCCCTGTGCACGTATTTTACCTCACTTCCCCCTAGGATTTGGATGGGGACAGAGGCCATGTGCTCCTTCTCTGGGGGAGATATGGCCCCTCTAATAAACCTTACAATAATGTTTCTCCTGTGCCTGCCAGCCTCTTCATGGTCCCCTGGGATGGTCCTGAAGGATCTTTTCACCACCAATTATCCACTCTTAATCATTTCTCAGCTGTGATACGGAGCTGTAGTGGAGCCAGCTACAAACTCTGATAAAGTCCCCTCCAGTCCAACATTGTGCTCATTCTTAACAGAATAGGCCAGGCTTAGTCATAGTACTTTTTGTTTCTTCGTAATGGAAACTAGTCCATATAAGGATCAAGATTTTATCTTAATTTAGACCACACAAATTGACCAAACAATTAGCAAAATTCACACACAAGACAGAATTTTATCATTTAAAAAATTTTAAAGATAGGGATGACCTTTTCCAAAAACCAATTATCACTCCAATCAAGAGATGATAGGGAAGTTTCTATTGTAGTCTATTCTAACTGGAATTTGCTGTCAGGTACACAATATATTGAGAGCGAAGGATAATTCTGCCAAAAAGTCAATTCTAGAAATCTCTACTAAATCATTAAACTTAAATTTTTCCAAAAAGAAAATCACAAAGAGTTTTGGTGTCACTTTCCACATATAGGTAAAATTAACAGTCCTGCTATGTTCACAGAAATTTCAATTATTTTTGATGTCACATGAATTTTGCTTTAATTACCTATATGTCCTCTGAGCTAAGGCTTCTGCACACACCTGCCAGGCATCTGGGGAAATCTTTAACTGCTCAAAATAGGCCAGGGCCTGTAGGTTGAAAAAGAAAGACATTTGTAAGTCAATCTCAATGCCCAACTAGTACTCAAGAAAACACTTATGAGATAACAAATCAAGAATAATTTAGTGAATAGAAAAAAAAAAGCTGACATATCCAATTCAGGTTTCAGAACATATTTATTGTGTGGCTTAATCTTAAGAAAAAACGTCTAAAATAGAAGACAAATTCCATTAGTCACATAATCAAACTCCTTTGATTTTTTTTTTCTTACAGCAGTGAGGACATGGTTCAAGATGCATTGTATTCATAAACTGCTTTGTTAAATGGCAACTCCTTTGTACAACTACTTTAAAAAAAAGTGAAAAAGAAAGCCCTGAAAATGTCATTGGATCATTAAAAGGACTCAAAGGAAAAAACATAAATGACATAATACTAAGATATATGTGATTATAATAAGGTATACGACGGAATTTTTAAAATTTAACAACAAATCTACTAAAGGTGATTGTGAAAAATAAAATATATGTGCTGGGCACTGGTGTCTCACACCTATAATCCTAGCTACTCAGGATGCTGAGATGTGAAGATCTTGGTTCAAAGCCAGCCTGGGCAGGAAAGGCTGTGAGACTCTCATCTCCAATAAACCACCAAAAAACTGGAAGTGGCACTGTGGCTCAAGTGGCAGAGCACTTGCCTTGAGCTGAAGTGTTCAGGCCCAGAGTTCAAGCCCCACAACCGACAAAAAAAAAAAAAACTTATGTTCGTGTAATGTACTGTTACACTGAGGAGTATTTCAACTCTTCTCTTGTATTATGTAATTCCCTAGCAAAAGAGATTGGAGTGGATTACAACTGCAAGACAAAAACTTTGGGAACAAATCAAGTAACTGAAAAAAAAAAAGGTTAGGAATGGTTCTCCCTCCCTGTTTATGAATCAGAACTAAAAAAAAGTCTGTGCTAGCTAGGCATTAGTGGTTCATGCCAGTAATCCTAGCTTCTTAGGAGGCTGAGATCCAAGAATCAAGATTCAAAGCCAACCACCAGCAGGAAAGTCATTGAGACTCTTAAGTACCAAAAAAGCCAGAAAGTGGAGCTGTGGATTTTAAGTGGCAGAGCAGTGGCCCAGTAAAGCTCAGGGACAGTGCCTCCACCCTGTGTTCAAGACTGTACTGGCACAAAGAGCCAGTAAACTCTCAAATGGATGCAGCATCAAATATATATGGCCTCTACAAGATGAAAGGGAAAGCAGGAGTTACTCATGCTACTCCTTCTCAGTAGCGCGTACCACTAAATGAAGCATTCACATATGACAATGGACAAATAGTTCAGCAACCACACTGTGTAGAGAACATCTTACACAGTCATGAAGATTTTCAGAAAACTATTACATGACTTAAGCAATTGTGTATTGATACAAACTTCAGGTAGAAGGAACACTAAACATTATAGAAATCCAAATTCAATTAGCATTTATTGTTATTATAATGGTGATTATAGCATTTAATTGTTGTATGTAACCATTAATGATTAAATCAATTTAGCAGCCCTGATCAGCAATTTAAAAAATGAAATAGAACAGAAAAACACAGTGCACTGCATTGATATGGGTTAGTAGCAAAGGAGGCCTATAGGGCTTGCAGGTGACAGCTGATAAACTAAAACCTGCCTGACAACGAAATGGGGGTAGGGGACTACAAAAGAATGAAGAAATAAGCCGGGCGCAGGTGGCTCACGCCTGTAATCCTAGCTACTCAGGAGGCTGAGATCTAAGGATCACGGTTCAAAGCCAGCCCTGACGGGAAAGGCCATAAAACTCATCTCCAATTAACCACCAGAAAACTGGAAATGGTGCTGTGGCTCAAGTGGCAGAGCACTAACTTTGAGCTGAAGAGCTTAGGGACAGCACCCAGGCCCAGAGTTCAAGCCCCACGACCAACAAAAAAAAAGAAATAAGAAAATGAGGAAATAAGGGACTCTAAATCATAACCTTACAGGAAACAGGAGACCCCAGGAGACCCACAGATCATTTTCAAGGACTCCAGTTCTCCCTGTTTAAGCCAAGGCCAAGAGAACTGAGATAGGCTAAACTGCTGTTTTCATGGTGGTACTTTTTTAGCTATGTTCTTGACTTGTTTGAATTCTTCTCTTGTACACTGACCCAGGTTGTTTACCTGTCCTACACTTCTAGTAACCTATTTGGTGCTTAGTCCAGGAAGTTAAGGATTAATTATGTCTTTTTCTGACTTGGGACTTGTCAAATGATTCGTTATCTAGCAAGAATAGTATTTTATGAAATTTGTTTTAGTTATAGGTGTTTATGTTTGTGGGAGGTACATACAAATAGGGTCAGGACCCAAAAATTAGTTTTTTCCTCTGGGTTAGAAATATATACGTTTAGGTAACAGTTCTCCAAATTATTTTAATATATAAATCAGTGGATTTTCATATGTGGTTCAAAGCTGTTTCACTGATAGAGGACTGGTAAGTAAAGCTGATTATATGAAAATCACCAAAAACTATCCTGACCTATAAACATGGTATAACAAGAAATTTATTTAGGCTTTGCTCCATCCTTCTCCTACTCAGCTCGAACTTTAAACCTATAGAATTTCCAGAATGATAGGACTGTCTTTTGTTATTTATTTTTTTTAATGTCAATGTATTCTTTTTTTTAATTAAGTTTTTTATTGTAAAAATACTGTACAAAGGGGTTACAGTTACATGAGCAAGGTAATGAGTACATTTCTTATCCAGCATTGTTGCCTGTCTTTTGTTATTTATGATGAGCCTTGCATCACACCAGAATTCACACAAGTGATTTAGTGAGGAGCTACCAGATAGACTATTAATTGGGTTAGCTACTATAGCCTATTAATTGGGTTGGGTACTAGAAAAACTAAGTGATTTACAATCTGAAAACATTAGCCCCAAATGTTAAGCCAAAGCTGAGGGGGTTTTTTTGTTTTGTTTTTTAAAGAAATAAAAAGCTCTACTTTTAAACCAAAAATTTTGTATTTTGATCCTATATTACTAGCATTAAAAAGATTATGTAGCAATGTTGGAGATGATCATTAGTCTTTGTTGCCCATTTTTTTTTGTTGCATCTATGTAACAGTTCAACTACATTTACTAAAACCAAGGGACAAATGAGCAACTGATATTGTGAGACAGCCCGGATCTTCCACCTATCTAGTAAGCTCCCACTATTCCTAAACTGTAATATTTTGTGCTCTCAGAATTCACTTCTTCTGGGCTGGAAAGGTGGCTCAGTGGTAGAGCGCTTGCCTTGCATGCCTGAGGCCCTGGGTTCGATTCCTCAGCACCACATAAGCAAAAAAGAAAAAAGCCAGAAGTGGCA